TTGGACGAAAAGATACAGTAATGTAATAGATTAGGAAATTTTACAATAGAAACTCGATAAATTGATATACATTACTATATATATATATATATATATAAAAATATATATATATATATAAAATCAATGGACAAAAATGATACAAATCTTATAATGAAAGCTATAATATGGGATTTGTTTTACCAATGGTTGGACGAAAAGATACAGTAATGTAATAGATTAGGAAATTTTACAATAGAAACTCGATAAATTGATATACATTACTATATATATATATATATATATAGTAATGTATATCAATTTATCGAGTTTCTATTGTAAAATTTCCTAATCTATTACATTACTGTATCTTTTCGTCCAACCATTGGTAAAACAAATCCCATATCATAAATGGTGAGTGAAGACTATGAAAGGATGGCACAAATGACTGGTAACTGGCTGACACACGGTATAAGATGGAAGATGGTTTTTATGTTTTTTATGTTTTTGTTTGTTTATGTATGTCTGTGTTTGCTGTAAAAAAATAAAAAACTTTAAAAAAAAAGAAAGTATGAGAGGCATACATGACCCTGATTTATAAAGAAGGAAATGAACTGGAGGAACTACAATCACACCACCAAATTTCCCTGATGAATATAGATTACAAAATTATCATAACTAAATTACCTAATTGACTGAAGGAATGTGTCACAGACATAATACATATCAATGAAGCAGGCTACATCCCAAAGAGGAACATTAAGGACAATAGTAAGTTTTTAATCAACATAATAGAACATGTCAAGAAAAGAAAGGAAGAAAGCTGCACTAATTTCTGTGGACACAGAAAAGGCCGTTGAGAATTTGCAGTGGTAATTCCTGCTGGCAGCAGTGAATAAAATGAAACCCGGAGAAAAGTTTCAGTTTTGGGTTAAAAGCATATGCTAATGGCAAAAAGTTAAGATCACGGCTAATGGAGTTCTCTCCACAGATTTTCAAATCACTAAAGGCACAAGACAAGGTGTCCAATCTCACTCATTATTCATCATTGCTCTCGAAATATTGGCAGAAAAGGTCCAAGGTGATAAATAAATATCAAGTCTTAAAAATCTGTGGAGAAGATAAGCTTAAATGTTATGCTGATGATGTAGTATTAACTATCACAGAGTCACAAAGGGCAATGAAACAGTTGAGGAAAACAATTCACAGCTTACAAAATCAATGTCCAAAAAAGAAAAATAATTACAAGATATTTAATGGTAGAAGTTAATCTCTTGCGGGAAGAATCTGGCTGCCAGATAGCCCATTCACTGAAATCTCTTGGTCTGCACTGAGTGGTAATAATGAAGAAATGTATCAAAATAACTATGCCAAATTATGGCAAGAAATCCAAAGTGATCTCAAAAGGTGGAGAAATCTAAAGCCAACTTGGTTAGGATCAATTGCAATTAATAAATTGAATGTATTACCCAAGGTAAATTACTTGTTCCAAATGGCAGCAATTGCAATCTCAGAGAAAATCTTAAAAGAAATTCATAAGAAGTTGTCAGCAAATTTATATGGAGTGAGAAAAGACCTGGAATTAAAATAAAAGTTGTACAAGATGCAAAAGATAGACAAGACCAACAACGTCACCCCTGACCTCCCCTTTAAATGCTTTCCATGTTGGAGACAATTATTGGAAGGAAAATGTAAATTATGTATCCAGAGTTTAAATTATTTATTTATTTATTTATTTATTTATTTATTTATTTATTATTACATTTCTATGCTGCCCATCTTCCCCAGAAAGTGTCTCTATGTGGCTTACAATTAAAAACCAAGGCAATAAAAGCAATAAAAATGTAAATGTCCCTCACTTCCAAACTCCATTGGAAGAATATGAAATCTGATGACATACTTGTACACTAATTTAAATATTCTGCCAAGATATGTCAGAGTGACCTAAAACATTATTTTTTATGAAAGGGAAAATGCTCTTGGGGAAAACATAAAAAAAAAATTTTTTTTCAGTGGATCTAGGCTGGCTGTTATGAATTCCTTTCATTCATTATAAACAGTTTTCAGTAGGAAACAGATGAATTGCTAGAAGGAACATGAATAATAATATTATGATCTACCTTTAATTCTTAGACTTACTTCTAGTCTTTAGTTCTTCTATCTTCCACTTGAGTGTTTCTTTGGTGGGGGGGAGGGAGAATGAGTTTTGAAGCATGCTTGAGGACAAATGATGAATATTACTTTTTTCTGGGATGATGATAGTCCTACAGAGAGCTTCCTTATCCTAGGAAAAGTTGTAGCTGTTTCATTAGGTCATACAGGCCCTACATCCC